TCCTAGGGGCACAGGACCAGGAGAGGGGGAAGCCGTGTTCACAGGAAACCCCAGACCAAAGTAAAAAGAAAACAACAACATACCTGTTGTAGAGGCCGGGAGGAGCGAGGAAACGTGCAGTGGGAAACTGCCCGCGCAGTTTGTCAGCTGCGCCCTTATCCAGCTGTGACCGGGTGACATCACAAGGAGACGCCATCCGGCGGAGATAAAAAGTGGCTCCAAAGGCGCTGGGTGGACGCCGAGGAGTGGAGGACCGGTGGGGAACCACTGGGCAGAAGGCGTCCAGCCACTGCAGCCGGCAGCTGGCAGTGGCAGCAGCTGCTGCAGCGGTGGAGGCAACAGGAACTGCAAAGGATCCCCGAGCCGGGGAAGACCGGCGGGGATTGAAGACGCCGGCAGGGAGGCCGGCAACGGTAGCAGCTGCAGCAAGAGCTACGGGGAACCCCAAGCTGGAGAAGCCCGGCGGGGATCGAAGGAGCCAGCGGAGAGACCCGCAGTGACCACTGGGAGAGCCGGCGTGAGAGCCCTAATCAGAGGCAATGGGGGCTGCAGCTCCCGGTCAGAGACGGAGCTTGGAGGAGGAGAGGCAGACCCCGGCTGGGGTGAAAGCACTGGTCCTGACCCAAAGGGCGCCCTAGCCTAGGGGCGTTAGGGGCTAAGGGTGTACGGAGCTCTCACTGTGGGTGCTCCGTTTCCTTTAGTACTCTCCCTCCCTTCTTTCTTTTCTGTCACACCTCACTGGTGGTCAGGCTGTTGGTTTTGTTCATTTTTGTTTCACTTCGGGTGTTTTAGGGCAAAGGGGTTTAGGATCAAGACATTGATAGTGTTCCCCTTTAGGGCTCATCTATCTCGGTCCCCTTTTGAGGGTAGATTAGTGGAGTCCTTAGCACCAGGCGAGGGTGACTAGGACCCCATCAAAGGGGTAGAGAGGAGCCACGCAAGAACGCACTGGCGGCTACTGCCAGCAGACACAGAGGGCTAAGGGCACTGGAGAAGACAAGCCCAAAAGCCGAGGGTCTCCAGACCCTCCCACCGAGGTTCAGCCAGGGCCCTGGGTGGTCATCGTCGAGAGGCAACGCAGAGACCAGGGAAGACACCAGTAGGGGATAGCCGCAAAAAGACTCGGAGGCCCGTCTCTAAGGGTGGCACATTGGGTGTAGGGGAGGTTGGAGCCCCGTGAACGCCCGCCGAGATGCGTGAGGACTCTGGAGGCACCCTCAAAGGGGACCCCCCCCCACACTAAAGAACCATTCAAAGTCGTGGCAGGTGAGTTAGGAGGTCACCCTGAAGACAGCCGAGGTGCCCTCTGGGGTGCACGTAGGTCCCTGGCAAGCAAGATCAGCTGCTCGGGCGAAGGTGGTGCGGAAGCGTACAATAGAGCGGAGGCGGGCACAGATGCCAATCAAACTTTGTAAATTACCCAGTGCGAAACTGTATTTTGGTATCCTTTCTTGATAAACTACAAACATTTCACAGCATTCTTTCAGGCTGTAGACTATTGAATCAATCCACAATTCTGCTACCAAATAATTTTTTCTATGGCACTGCTTGGCATTCTATAAAGTTGTTTCTACATTGTCTTATCCATTGTTGTATCTTTCCTTCCAGTCGTCTTTTCCCTAATCTCATCATCACTTTTATATGAAACTAGCCAATTGCCCATCAAGAATGACAAGGGGGAGGGGGCTGGGATGGTGTGCCGCCACCGAACACCCCATGCTGCCACTGTTCTGCCTCTTCCACGGAGCAGGATAGGGGAGCTGAGGCTAGTGCTGTTGGCCTTGGCTCCCCCACCACCTGTCCAGTCCTTGGTGCCGCTTGCAGGGAGTGCTGCTGGCTTTGGCTCCCCCACCCTCTGTCCAGTCCTCAGCGCAGCTTTGGAATCATGGCAGTGCTCCCCCACGATTGGAGCACTCTGATTGGCTGTTTCCATTAGCCAATCAGAGTGTGAATAAAGCATCATGGACAGACAGACTTTGGCTTTTTTAATGTTAAAATGTTTAAGATTTAAAGAAGTATTTTTTCATGTTTCTTGATTTACTTGCAAATAAAGACCAGAGATTGTATTGAGATGAGACCAGATTTACTTGGTCTCATCTCAGTACAATTACTTTGAACTGTGTCAGATTCATTTCTTTCTTATTCCTATTCCTGAAATGCACCGCTAACACAAACCATTTTGATTGGGAGAAACATGAACTATTTCGGTACCTCATGATTGATAAATGTGGTATTTATTTTGAATGTTAAAAGCTAAATGAGGAGTTTTACAATGCTGCTAGTCACTTATATCAGTAGAAAAATCAAATAATAACTAAATGTTGTGTGCTGATTATTCCATGATAGCTATTTTTTCAAGACTTTTAAAGATTGTTTTTAAAGTCTTACCTTCTGTCTTGACTTGATGTTTGCAGTAATCAGTGTTGCATTTGCAATTATTGCATGCCTTCACATGTACACATTATGAACTAAAAAAGTGAGCTAAAATAATATTAGGGCCAGATTATTAGCCTGGATCGAATCCTCGTGATGCTCCACTAATTGAAAGAGGTCTTGAAAGTGGCAGTGGGGCACTGTCAATGTCGTAGGAATCCCTTTACAGTATAAAGCCAGCACTCAGGTCTTTGTCATCTGTTCCTTACCAAAGGAAAGTGACATGTTTGAAGCAGGCTAGGGACAGCAAAAGGCATAGCACTCTAATGATCAGTGGCTGATAAAATGATACCTGTGTGGCTCATCTGTATGATTTAGAGCTACTAGTTGGCTTCTCATGCACATTGGAGTCTATTCCAGGCCCTGACTGATCCAGCAGCCAAGTGGAGAGGTGTGTAATGTCACCTCTTGATTCCCACCAGCTTCCCCTTAGCTGGGTTAGGCATAGCTCTGGTGCAACTGAGAATCTAGGTCTAATGAAATTCAATTCACAGGATTGAATTCATCCGTGTGTAATTCCATGAAGTCAATGGAGGATGAAAGACTAATTTGCTTCTGTGTTTATTTGAGTTTTATATAAAGTAAATTTTGTACTTATTGGGGGACCTGGCTTAATAGCTCTGGTAAACATACAAGTGGAACTTAACGTTTGGTTCCCCCACTCCCCCACCATGCCATTAACATGTGTTTACTCTGATTAGTAACGATGAATTCAGGCTACTAGGGATAAGACAGTAGTTCGTCTCCACAGTATCTCAGTCCTTGGCCTCTCCACTGAAACTGTCAGCAGACCAAATTAGTGTCGATTTGGATGGTGACTTTTGTAATATTGGCATTCGTTCACTATGAAGTGGCCTGTGGCCAGCAACATATATTACTAAAACCAAATAACAGTGTTCTGCTGGTAACGTTTTATTTTCAGTCCTCTTTAACAGATATCAGATCTTTTATTAATGATCGCAGACCTGACCTTATTCTGGAAAAAAACAGGTTCCATTGATTTTAGGGTGTTTTGCCTACCTAAATGCTGTGGGTTCAGGCCCCAGCACAATGAAGCTGCTATTGTCTAGAATCCTACTGTGGTCAAAAGTATACCCAAATTAGCTTTCAGGCTTTGGGGAGGGAGGAGGAAATGAGGGAGAGGGAGATGAAGAGAAAAACATGTCTTTTGCCCCGTATAGTTATTCTTGCAGTGTTTAATTCTCTGGGGGTAAAGTGGTTGCTTTAATGCAGGCCTGGGTGTGTGCCAGCAAGGAAAGTGCCTAGTACTAGGGGTGTGCAAAACAGGCCAAATTCAATTCGATTCGGATTTGGCCTGAATCAGGGACAGCGATTCAATTAGTTGATTCGGATCACTGTCCCTGATTCGATTTAACCGAATCCTAAGATTTTATGCTAATTTGGATAATCAGCGATTTGGTCATTTCGTATCAATAGAGGACAGAGTAGCAGAAAACCGAAATGTCCTTTATGACGGCCACCCTACCTGAGCAGCGGCTGGAGGTGGAAGGGAGGTGGTGGGAAGGCTAGACTGGGCACTGCTGCTCCTGCCAGGGCGGGGTGGGACAGGGGAAGTGCTGCTGTGAGGGCTTCTACTGCTCACATGTGTGTGTATGGCACCCCATTGACCATGGTGTCCTGGGCCATCACCCACCATTTCTGGGGAGAAAGTGTGAGCACATTGTGTCTCAACACAAGTCTTTGTCGTGCCGTACGGGAGCAGCATAGTCATGTTCCCAGTATGTTGTGGGCCTCAGTTCACTGATGGTTGGCAAGTGCTCTGATTAGGGTGGCCATTGAGGTATCTCAAGAAAAGAGGACAGTTGCACTGAGGCCCACCATGAATGTCATGTGCCTCCTGAAGCTGGGGGGCACCGTGAGCCCCTGCAGGCAGCCGTGGCGGGGCGTGGTGGCATTGAGTGGCAAGCTCCTGCAGGGCACTGCGGGGGGCAAGGGGTGCCAACTGGTGAAAAATAGAGGACATAAAGGCATCCAGTTTCATATCAATAGAGGACGGAGGACCAGAAAACCGGACCATCCTCTATGAAACGGGACGAATGGCCGCCCTAGCTCTGACTCCAGGGCAGGAGGTGCTATGGCAGCGCCAACGCCCAGTCCTTATTTCTTCGGCCCCACGTGCGGAGGCTCAGTCCCCAGGGACCTTCAGGTGTGTCTGGGAAGCAGGGGACAGCGCAGCGCAGTCCGTAGCGGGGTCAGGAAAGCTCCCGACACCTCACGCTGTTTCACACACAACAAAACCCTGCGGCTTCATTAGGCCGCCGCCGCGACCCCG